GGGCGGGATGAATGGAGATAACCTGATCTCCGACCACCCCGAAAGATCTAAACTCCCAAATTTCTACCATTTTGATGAAGATGATGATAACCATTGTGTAGCTTTGCACGAACATTCTGAAACGTTTATTGCGTTTATGAAGTAACTAAGATAATAGTCTAATACTGCCTTCTATACTCTAATTTAGAAATCCTATTTCTCGTATTGTGCATTGTTTTATTTTTAAAGTAAAATATTAAACGTTCAGCGAGTGTGAATGAACTTTTAAAACGTCTCACGCTCCCACTTTGTATTTTTACACTAGTTTTTTTTTTAATAATCCTCTGCAGTTCTAAGCATTTTTGAGGTGTAGTTTCCCTTACATAGTGGTTAGCGTTGCGTATTGGAGAATAGGATTGTTAAATAAGTTCTTAATTACTTAATCAGTGGCTTGCGACGGTAGCTTTAAAGCTTCAAGAGGAGGGCAAGTAACTAACAAGTTTGTTTAAACATTCTGCAACTAAAAGGTTGACGCGACCTTCGATACATTCAATGACCATCAAAAATATAAAATGATAATGACATAAGTAGTTTCTTATAAAATGATAATGACATAAATAGTTTCTTAACCGTATTTAATCGATCAAAATACTCATTACGGGAACTTATATGTTAATAACTTTGTTAACCTTAGTATTGTGATGCGTTACTACATGAACTGGCCCAGTTTCGTGAGAAAACAAGCTCATGAGGATTGTCGTAACCTTTAACTTCTCTCTGAGTCTCACCTGTAAAATTATTGTGGCAGGTTAAGAGTCACTGCGTTTCAAAGAAATTAGACTAAGTTTTGTGAGCATTGGAGAAGACGTGGGTTTGAATCAGCATATATTTTTTTTTTGTGTCATTCCTGTCTCCCAGTGAGACAGCTGTAAGTTTACCGAGTTACAACGCTAAAATCCGCGGTTCGATTCCCTGCGGTGGACATAACAGATAGCCCAATGTGGCTTTGCTCAAGTATCGTTCATTTCCAAACATCAAGCTCTCAGGTTCTCTCACGTGTATGACATTAAAATATACTTGCTTACACAACTTATAGTTTGGTTTTCAAACACATACAACAAAATACAAATAATATAAATATAAATGTTGGAGGTATCCTACACCCTACAAAATTAAAAATTCAAAAACAGCTAAAATGGGATAGAAAAAATGCATCATATAAAAAACAACTTTTCGCCACTGTTAACATGGCATCATCAGGTACTCAGCACAATTGTACATAACATTTAAGTACACCTAATTGGTGACGTCAACCACATAACCTTGAGCTAATATAAGTATAAACCTAATCCTTGTGTTTTATCTATTAAAGGTTTGTATTCCTTTACTAAAATGACTTCTTTTATTCTACGTTTATTAATATTAGGTTCTCGACATATAATTTTAACAGTTTTATGTTCTCAACATTTCATTTTAAGTTTTATTTTCATTACAATGTTCTGTGTCTTTAAAATGTTAGTATACATGTGACGGAGCATGTCCATGTTCTGCTATTCTAGTACATAAATTTCTACCAGTCTCCCCTATATAGATAATATTACAGTCCGTACATTCTACACTGTAAACTACTTCTTTCTCAACAGTAGATGGTT